AGGTTCTTCAGTTTATCAAATAACGTCAAGAACATACCTATCTAAGGATATTTTTGGATTTCAAGAACTTTTACATAGAAAACAGTATCTATATATCATTATTATGCTTTGTGTCATATGATAAATATCATACGCATCTTACACTAAATAATCTTCCGATCAAGAATGGTATTGCAAATTAATTTAATTCCACACAAAAATTAAAACATAACGTCATCTACGCGTCACTATCAACTGAAATACGTCCACCGCTGAACAGAAACCTCTCTTTTAAGCGCTGTTTGCCCTAATCTAAACTAGCAGACGGATCACCTAATGGTAAGCAATCGGCGTCGCCCATGGACACCTCGAACACCAGAGGCGTTACAAGTGCGTTACCAGCTTTTTGGGGATTAAGAGTTTGAGGATCGTTGGGATTCAGGGATTGGGGAGATTGGGGAAGGGGAGGGTAATTGGCCCTCCGGTAACCTCACTCACACGACGAAACACTACGCAAGCGTTGCTTCACGTCGGTTTTCTGTGACGTGCCGTGGTATCACTCTGGTCGAGCCGGCGCATTCGTGCCGAAGCATGGCTCTCCCACACTTACTTAATTAGAGTTTGTAAAAATCTCGTTTAAATCTATAATTATATTACTATGATTAACATGTACGCATTACGTTTAAAAATAGTTTCACGAATAACTTAGTCCTGAGCCAAAGTAACGAGTTAGTGCTTAATCCAGTTCAGAATGATTGATCTTAAGTTAGTAATCTAAGTTATTAAGTACATCCCTAATTGCGGGCAGCTGTAGCAATTATCATTAGTTTGTAATCTTGATCTGGCTTGTAATAACTTTGTAAGACAGTTGGATTAATGCTAGAAGTATTAAGGGTGTCTAGATACATCGAAGTGGGTTCTGTTTCTGGTAAAAATGAGAATTTTCATTAAAAAAACTGTAGGTATATAAGTCAATCTTGGGTCATTTGTCAAATAGTTTCAAGTCCGGCTGCCGGCAAAAGAGTGTCGAATTCTATTAACGGGGCGACCAAAATAATGTTTTAAATTGATAATGAAAATATATATTTTTTTTAATTTGAATTTTCAATGACCGCAGATACACTATTTTAATTAAGTCAGTTCTTGAGAAGACCACCAGATGTAGCTTCAGTTATAAGTGAATATCATAACACAATTGATAATAATTTTTACTCCTATTCCACCATAGACTATACAAAAAGCACAATCTTATATTCGTATAGATTTCTTGCAGTAAAAAACACGTTTCAAATGATTTGGACGTGTATAATCTGTGGACCCAAACCCGGCTGTCATGCCGCCCCTAATAATTATAATTTCGAACACAATACCAAAAGTCAAAACCGTAACTAATATGTCTATGGGAGACCAATGATTTCCGAAACGTTTTTTTAATAACAACGATACGAACACGACGACGCGACGACAAAATATAATTTGATATTGTTGTTGAGAAATTGGTAATTATAGTTTTTGTTATCTAGATTACTTGTGGCTCCACAAAATTAATTAACTAAACAAAATCAAGAAAGTCACTTAATGTAAAACCACACGACAAAATAGACAAAGGTGGAATTGTGTGGTAAAATTAAACGTAGTAGTTGTGCTGTGAAGAATTGTTTGACCTGATACCGACAGCATGCATCCCCATCATAATCATCATATAGATGGTTGGCAGGCCTGCTTCACACGTAGTTTTTTGCCCCGCACATTTTATACGTAGAAATGACGTTTTAGCCCCCAGTCCTAAGCTTTGATTCGATTTATCTAAGTACTTTTTTTATTATACGACGAAATAAAAAAATACTTGTCTAATATTTTTCATTACCTAACTTAAGGACTAATTAGATTTTTAATTTTCATACCCTGTCATCATCCCAATTAATTATTATGCTGCTCATAAATATGGGCTCAGATTCTAACATGGCTTAAAACTAGTCGAGTTCCTCGTCAAATAATTACGTGATGATATGAAGTCAGGAAGTCGAAATACATAATAATTAATCGTTCACAATTCTGAATTTCGTAATAAGTATTATTGTTACAGAAACTTTACTAAACTTCAAAAATACCCGTGAATTCCTACCTCCTCACAAACTTATAACTAAACCATTTCACAAAACACTCATTCAATATCACGATAACAGTATTCTTAATTCTACACACAATTTACATCTCAAATACTCTATAAATAGGTCTTAAACTCTAATCACACTGTTGTATCGCTATCTAATCAGCTCCCTGGCTTTCTTTCCACTATCAGCGTCTAATGCACATGTTATGTAGTCCCACTTAATCAGCTCTTAACTTATTCAGTTTACTTTGAACAAGGCCCCACTTCAACTGGCTACTGGTAACTTGGTATAGTTTAGATAGCGTTGATTTAAATCCTTTAAATGAGATTTTTTAACCTCTTGTTTGCCCGTATATGAGACAGAATATTTTAAGTGTGGGAGAACCATGCTTGGGCATGAATGGGCCGGCTCGACCGGAGTGATACTACGGCCTCACAGAAAACCGACGTGAAGCAACGCTTGCGTTGTGTTTCAGGTGTGTGTGTGTGTGAGTCAGGTTACTGGAGGCCCAATTACCCTCCCCTTCCCCAATCTCCCAAATTCCTGAATCCCTAACGATTCTCAAACTCCTAATCCCCAAAAGGTCGGTAACGCACTTGTAACGCCTCTGTAGTTCCAGGTGTCCATAGGCGACGCCGATTGCTTACCATCAGGTGATCCGTCGGCTCGTTTACTGGCTTATGACATAAAAAAAATGATAGAAAATACATTGTGTCTCGCGTGGATCCACGTTTAGATACATAAAAGGTTAATGTTGATTGTTTGACTGTATATTTGTTAGTAGGTAAGGTTCTATCAAAAGCATCACCCGTCTTCTCGTCCGATAGAAAGTAGCCTATGTGTTATTCGAGATTTCATTCCGATTCCTTCAGCTGTTTTTGCGTGAAAGAGTAACAAACACATGGACATCCTCACAAACGTATGCATTTATAAATATTAGTAGGACGTAGGACAGTGGGATTAGTATAATTTAATAAATCTTTATATATATAATTATTCTGTGAGTGTGTATGTCACTGAACTTCTCTCAAACGAATTTTTGTTTATACATTCAAGTGGATATGCAGGACAACGTCTGTTGGGTCTGCTAGTATTTTAGTAAATCACCTTTATATGTGTTTCATCGTGTTTTAAGACGAGATGAGGGTTCATAAAGAACTATTATTTTATTTAAAACTAACTGATTACTCCCGTAAATATACTGAGCAGAAAAGAAAAGAAGAAAGAAGTGAGAGTTCTTCTACTATAGAGTAGAGGAAGCTCTACTGTAGTTTTAAGTCACAGAAGGAATCCCTCTGTGACTCGAAAATAGTTGAGCTCGTAGAATCGCAATACGATTGTTATAGGTACTCTAAATTACCAAAAATCCGACTGTCAGTTTTCTTGATTGACTCATTCAATCAATGTATCATTAAAACGTGAATAGCAATATTAAATTATAAAACATTTTTAGTCATCAATACAATAGATAACACAGACGCCTAATTGTTTACCAATAAATAATCCAATCATTTAGTTTTTTCCGTAAAAAACATAAAAATTAATGTATTATGTAGACTCCGACGTGTAATGTGATTAAAAAATACTTAAAAATGAATCCAATTAGATAGACATTAAGTTACATTTTAGGGCATTGATCTGACGATGACTAAACGAACGGTTAAATTATCGTTACACAGTTAGTAGGTGCATGAATTGAAAAATAAAAGTAATGTAATTTATATGTATAAAGTTATTATTATCGCATACTTGTTATACCTACGTATGCTGAGCGTACCCCATCGATACGTTTAATGCAATTTCAACGACAGACGTTTGGGATATTACGATTCTATAGCACAAAAAAGTTTTTATTCCAAAATTCGTAGCACCTGGGTAGGTTGCTAGGCTTTTCTCATTTTAGGAGAAGAAGATATAATTGTAGTGTTACTTCTTTATAATACATACATAACATAACATCACGCCTTTTATCCCCGAAGGGGTAAGCAGAAGTGCACATTATGCCACTGTATGTTCTTTATGATATCAGCTACAAAACTCCTATTACTGAACATAAGCCTCATAAGGCTAACTATTAATTGTAACTTAGGCTCTCAAAACTTTTCTTTTTAATTATACTATCCTGAACTTAATCAACCTAAGTATGTACCTATGTATCGTATCGATCGAGACTATCTCACCTCCTACAAATCTAACAGACGTACAGACAAGCTTAAATTCTATCTGTATCTAATCTGCTTGTGTCCACCCACTGGAACGCTATCTTTTAATATGTTCAGTTACTTGTACAAAATGAGATTTATTTATTTATATCTAATCTGATTTACATAACTTCGTAGGTGCTGAGAAATGAGGATTAGCATCCTCATTTCCCGTATATCCCCAAGCGGTCACCGATGACAGCTCTCCACTAACTACATTATAGACCAAATTTCCAATGTTTAGAGACTACTTTTGTATGATCATAATTTAGGGGATGAATTCCAACAATTTTCAACGGGTTAAATAAAAACCATTCTAACATTTGACCTTGATTTCACAAGCTCATATAAGAGATTTTGTTTAAGAGAATTACATACGTGTTGAAATAAAACGCACTCAACCCTCAAGTTTTAGTACCTAAATGTGTAGAAGTTAGATGCAAATATGATTTACTCAAGCCATTTACTTTATTATGGGACATGAAACTTCAGTTTAAAAATATTAAATGTATCTGCTGTGTATCTAAAATTTCACCTCTGCTTTCTTACAATAACTTATTTTCACATCTACAATTTTTTTATAGGAAACCAAACAATTACGTAAATCGTGTACATATAACGTAAACTTTTGAAAATAACTGACACAACGATGTGTAAAAGTGACAGTGACAGTTCAATAATGTGACAGCTGTCATTTTAAAGCAATATGGCGTCTTTTGATGTGTTTCGGTTCCTGGTGCTGCTGGCTGCGTTAGTGTGGATCCTGGCTGAGGAGAGGAATGAGACACGGAGACTTTATCCATGGACCAATGGCAGTTGGTTGTGAGTATCTATTTAAATATTTTTTTACGACAGTCTGCCAGTAGGTAACCTTTTCTTTGTGACTAAAAGATTTAGCTTGCAGAAACTGGATTTTTTATAGGTATCAACTCAACATAAGTGACCAAATCTTTTCCCTGAAGTTTTGCTGGCGTATTGTTCTCCTGAGAATCGTAATTGAAGTCACTGAAGGGTCTATTAAAAGCAGATATAGTTAATATTTTAAATCTAACTGACAATTCCTTAGCTTTAGGTGTTCAAATGACCAACTCGGCTCTTCTTGCAGTTTCATCGACGTAAAGCTATTTCTGATCTTCATAACTTTTTCATTTCGAAGCCTGATCTTAGATTAAAAACTTTTCATTATTAAACAGCCATATAAAACAAAACGCCTGTATCGTCGATTTTTTATTCAAGTTCCACGGATTAACTCGTGGTATTGCGTTTGAAAAATCTCTTCACCTCTGTATTACCAATAAATAGCTAGTGTACTGTAGATTTAGCACCTTTATATTACGTGTACATATTTTATAGCAAGTCTAGACATGTCTCAGGTGGCCTAAGCTACAATAAACTCAAGTTTATATGACGGTGTGGCGTGACGACGATTGAGTAGCTAGCTGTTTGAAATTAAACTGTTTTCGCAAATAACACATGACGAGGTGCAAGATTTTCTTCTTTATATAGAGTGTTATTATTTCTTTATTATTTAAAGCGGAGGAGAATATAATTGCCACCTCATTTCTTGTGGATGGCGTAAGAGCTGACTTAGTGACCACACACTTGGTTTCGCTGCTATTGCAGCGGTGAGTTCCCCTCTTTGAGGAGTGGCTTGAGAGACGCTACGGCATCCTCACCTGCCGCCTGACGCAGGTCCTCACCGGACAGTGGAGCTTCGGTAGGTACCTGTGTCTGATAGGGCGGAAGGAAACGCTCGGGTGTCACTGCGAGGACCGCCTTGAGGATATGGTGGATTACACGGTACTGCGTAGGCTGAGCACCGCCGTGCCCTCACCAATTCTCACCAAAATTCAATTAAATGATTTTCCCCCTTAAAACAAAGTGACCACACAATAAAGATAGAATCGGGATTAGCTAGTACTGCTCTCTGAGAAATTTAAACCTTTTAAACTGCGATCTTTAACTTGCCATAGTACTCGTATTATATATGCTCGTATTATAACGTATTTTTTAAGGGGGGAAAATCATCGAATGACTGATCCCGCCTGGGTGAGGCGGAAGGGAGTGTCAGACTCTTACTGACTAAATACCACCCTTTTCCTTCTCCTGCTCGTCGAGCCGGAGCCCCAGTTGCCCGTTAGGTTCTCCGCGACTCCGAATCGGCATCGGCCCTATTGGGCCCCATCTGTGGTGGTCTGATGGCTCTTTGGGGCGCGCGCGGAACGCGACGCGCCGTACGCTCGGGTCTGTTTCTGGTCGGACGGGGAGCCACCCATGCTCGCCGTCCGCAGGCCCGCGCTTACGGTGGCCGGAGATCGTCCCGCGATCCCCGACGCCCGGTGTGTCCTTCGCGATGGCTGGGTTGCGAGGAGGCAGCGGTATTATAACGTATTTAAGTTACTCACAACTTTTTGCAATTTATTTGCCGCATTTAATTACTATGTTGTAAATCACACTCATAGATATGTTTAACTGAGTACTTGTAGGTGCATACAATCATGGTTGTGGCATCAGTTCAGAATGTCCAGCAGTAGAAACTACGCATCTTGCTACGACGTCATCAAATAGAACAATAATATTACTTACGTATGTTTATTGTATATCGCAACATGATCCCAACTCAAAGAAACGAATTGATAACAAGTGTAAAACAAACTTTTTATTTGATACTCTTTAAACCTTCGGACTTCCAAACTGTTCCATTTTCCTCGTGTCCTCGAAAAGAGGCGAGTACAGTCACTACCAAACGGAACAAGGAACTTGGGCCAACTCTCTATACCCAGTTTCCAAAACCCATACGCCAAAAATGTTAGGATTGCGTAGTTAAAGAACCTATTTGGATTAATAAACAGCAACCATTTTATTAACACAGACGATAGTGTGAGTTTAGTGTCAGGCCGGGCGTATCCTTCCTAGCTCCGTACAGCCAGAACTCGTAACTCAGTGAGGTGAGCTTACTGCTAACGAACGACAACGTTATTGTGTCCTGAAAAATAAAAAAGAAATAAGTGTGTCGCCTGATAAAAAAAAATAATAGCAATTTTTGCTGATGCGTATTTATCGTTGTGTAATGGTAAGGCACGCTATCCAAGTGTCAATAATTTGATACGGTAACTTTTATAATAGCTTAGTAAATAAACATTTGAGTTAATTTGAAAATTTGAATATAAATGTTACCAGAATTTCATACAGATATAGGTTTAGTTAGCATTTAAAACTTTTACATCAATCATTTATTTTAGCGCCTGTGCAAAATTTGTACGCAATACTATTACGCGATGCAGTGCGTTATAACAATTTTGTAGGCGTTACGTTGTAGCTACCACGTAGCTACCGTGTTTAATTTAGGCGAGAACCATATAGAATGTATATTTTTATTCATACAACTATTACCCTTCCCTTCCCCAATCTCCCCAATCCCTGAATCCCCAATGATCCTCAAACTCCTAATCCCCAAATGGCCGATAACGCACTTGTAACCTCTGGTGTTCTAGGTGTCCATGGGGACGCCGATTGCTTTCCATCAGGTGATCCGTCTGCTCGTTTACCGGCTTTGCCATAAAAAAGATACAACATGTACTTATTTAATAAATAAATATACACTGTACTAACCTGTAAAACACCGCCTTCCATGATGTACCCTCACTCGAGGGTCCGTCTATATACAGAATTACTTTGAAACCAGTTACAATGTACTCTTCATCGTCTTCGTGTAAGATTGCCTGTAAATATCAAACCCGTAAATTATGACCAAGACTAAACAAAAACGTATTGCGTTTATGACAAATATTTTGATTTGAGTTGAGCAGTTTTAGTCGTGTACATTAGACGCAGAGCAACAGTAATTGTAATTGAGTAACTTTGGACCTGTAGTCTTCGCAATATCATAAGAGCCAACATAGAGACTACACATATGACAGACACCGGGACAGTCGATCAGCGCTCATAGATACACCTTTTCAACTGCGATCTCCCAACAACCTACCTGGGTGCTTACTCTTGAAGTTGAAACCAATTGCAATCCAATCTAATCTCAATAATTATCCAATGTTAAAACTATACAACCCCTAGCGTAATTGTTAAAGTAGCATTCAGAATTCTTACAAGTCCTTATTAATATTATAAATCGGAAAGTGAGTTTGTTTGTTTGTTCCGCTTTCACGCCGTAACTGCTTAACCGATTGCTTTGAATTTTTGCAGAAGTAAGTTAGAAATCCAGATTAAATCATAGGGTACTTTTTATCCCGGTAAAAATTGATATTCCGAGGGAAAACAAAAGTATTGGTATAGATGGCGCTGTGTGTATTGGTATATGTCACATAGGCTACTTTTTATCCTTTTGTGACGCGAGCGAAGTCGCGGGTAAAAGCTAGTACGGAATAAAAGCTAAACTCAATACTAATTAGTTCATGAAATATCCACGCAACACAGATGCAATGTGTGCTAGTATTGCAACTCAAGGGTACGAAATTTCACAATACAAAAGTCGAGGGATCGGAATTGGATTCAACAGTAAGCTGGCGTGGAAACTTAAGATCATGGCAAACCTCATCTCTGGAGGACTGGCAGGAAAATCACTTCACACACTCACACACTAGGTACTATCACCCGGCCCCGTCACCCGGTAAAATGAAAAAAAACGACGTTTGATACCTCTTTATCATCCGGTGGGTACCTGAGTGTAAGGTTCACATCCTGCACGGGAAACGTCCAGCCACTCGAGCCGTACACCATCAAATGACTGCCTGTGGAAATTAATTAATAACACTTTTTATTTATTTGTTTAACGTATTTTATTTAAGTTGGACTAAGTATTAGGTTAACTGGCTTGTTTCTGAAGTTCAATTGCGAAAACTACGCATTATCATCATAATTGTGTACTTTCCTCAATAAAAAATAAATTATTTCGACTGTTCAGTATAATAAGATATTAAAAAATAATCCCCCCTTTCATTAATTTATTTTAAGAGCAACTTAATTTTATTATATTTCCAACATTTTTTTAATAAATAAGTATCTATGCTGTTTGACGCTAAAAAACATGACATCACAATACACAATCTCGTACAAAATTCATAGAAAACTGTGGTTTTGACAGTTCAAAAACTATATAGGTAGTTGGCAGACAAAAAACTAAGTGACTAGTTGGCAAGGATTCTTTATTTCAACAATGTCGATAATATTTTCCGTTTCCTAACACTTTAGAAAGCAATTAATGTATGAAAATGATGAATCTTCGAACTGGTATTTTTTTTAAGTGGGGAAATCATCTAATACTCCTCCCGCCTAGGTGAGGCGGGAGGGAGTGTCAGACTCTTACTGACTAAAAACCACCCGTTCCTTCTCCTGTACTTCGAGCCGAGCCCCGGTAACCCGTTAGGTTCTCCGCAATTCCGTCATCTTGGATCCTACAACTTTTACGTCATTAACGATTGATCCAAATGGCTACTTCTAGTTAGAAGAATTACTTCTAGTTAGAGTTAGAAGAAGTAGTAGTATACCTAGTTAGGTATACCTACGTATCAATTTTACGGCACTTTTAGAAAAGGCCCAAAATGTATGGACACGAGACGATATCCTTTTTAATCCAGTTAAAAATTTAATTCGATTTTTTTTATTTATTTAATCAATTTTGGCAATAGACTTGCCATACTTCTACAACATTTTACAGAACTCCGAAACTTAACTGGTGAATAGAGGGCGTCCCATTATACAAAGAGAGTTGCTCATCTCAATGTGCAAAAAAATCTATCTATTTATTTATTTATTTATCAAGTTATTAAATTGAGCACAAGCGTTCCCTGATAAACCTGATATTTGTC